GCATTCCAACTCCGATAGAAAGTGTCCCATTCTTCTTTTCGCTCAAAAAACTTCTTTGTATTGGCCGATACATTTTTTTGATATATGCCATGTGCATAGTAGATTCTTGGCATTAGGAAAAATCTTTTCAGTTGATTGAATAAGAGCCAGTTCCCTATCTGTGACAATGATATGCGGCAAGACATCATGATTCATTAAGGTTTTCAACTTTTCCATTGTGCAACTATAATTTGCTTCCCGTTCAGCTTCCATGATTACAAAAGCAATAGAAAGTGTCATTTAGGTCGAAGTAACCCCAACGATCTCAAAAAGGGGGCGTCCATACCTGTTGGTTTTGTGAGTACAATCCATTATAAGCACGCATGAGAAAGCATGTAAGAAATCGATGGATGTCGGATGAGCAAAGAAAAGGTCTCTAACTTCATCCGTTCTTTCATGAGACCTATGCCACTCGATATAATTGTGTTCTTTTAACTTGCTCATTATCTGTTGCATTTGTGTTTTGCCTGCCTTCTCAATCAATCTATGCCTTGCACGTGCATTGTAAATAGTCCTCATTATGCTAACATTATTTGGATCCCATTCTTTCAAAGTCATCGATATGTTCCTAGGTTTTACCAAGCTTTTTGACATATCGATTAAAATATGCTCCTCTTCATTAATTAATCTTTGTACATAAGGGTGACCTTCCAAATGTTGTGCCAGTGGATGATTATGTAGTCTGAATGATACCTTTAACATCCAATTGTTCTCAGTCGACAACTTCACACCATTTAGATCAAACGGGCATTTACACTTACGTGTTCCAACAGACCTCTTTCGTTTTGGTTCATGATTTGAATGATTTTTGTGTTTTTTATATTTTCCACTATGCTCACATCCATAGCGTATACGTGACTTGTGTCCATAACCACCACGCTCGGAATGTATTATAACAGTAACCAAACGAAGTTCCTTTCCAACCATACGAACCCAATTACATAATGACTCTCGACTATGGAATACCTACACAATCAATATTAAAAAATTATAATTAAAAAAATTGCAACAAGAGTTGAATTAATACATAAATTTAGCACCCATTTGGCCCTCATTAAATTTTATTACATTACATTTCATTTTTCTCTCTCCTATTTTCAACCACACAATTTTTCATAAAATAATATTACACGAAAAT